AGAGACTTTTATCTAGAATGCTGGTTTGTTCTGGGCCTTTCTGTGACTCTCAGACATCAACTCAGCGCCTGGCACAGCCAGGTGCTAGAATCCGTAGAGCACTTCTTCAGTTATAGAAAATAACTGAGAGTTTTTCAATGGCAAAGAAAGGCTTTCTCTACTTGCTTTTAACACTCAGCTTTATCTTACAATAGCCTTTATGCTTCTGTGCATAAAGGGGAGATTGAAGGTCAGCTCCACCCATCTGACTTTTCTGCCCCTGAGCTCAGTGAAACTGAAAGTGCGAGTGCTTAGGGGAATTTCTTCCTCTGGTGGACCTTTGGGGAAGGTACTGTCCTTTTACCTGAGCATGCCAATGAACTAAACTGCTCAGGGGAATGTCTGGGAGATTGCAGTGGCTCCTCCTTCCTCTTTATTTACACCCTCTTTCCTTTAACCTTGACATTTTCTGAAATTAGCTTTATCAACTCTTTCCAATTCTTTTCAGTTGACAATTTCCTTGAGTTGTTTGCACAACCTTTTCTTTTTGTAGTAGCTGTTTACTCACAACAGCCTTTGTAAAGGACAAGCTAGCAAAACTCAAACATCAATGTGTTTTACTTCTTTCCACACTGGTTGTCCAATGGTATTTACAGACAACTCAATTCCTGTGCAAGAGTCTTCTAGAAAACTGTTGCGATATAAAATGAAGAAAGTTAGTTCTTTAGCCAGGACATGAAATATGTTTATTATTCCCAAAAACTCTTGCTTTGTTTCCAAAACTACTGAGTGAAGCAAAGGAAAATATTTTTTGCCATATGCTCTCATAACACTGTAACAGACAGACTATAAATTGAGAAACTCTAAAGGTAACATATAAAGCTCACCAAATGCCAGATGCAGACACTTTATTAAATATGTCTTTTACTATTTGTATGTCAATTCTTAAACATCTAGATCTTTGTGCACCCTGGAAAGACTGCCCCTCCCAGGGCTAGCCAATTCTGAGAGAGAATCAACAATCTGCTCTCAATCTGTTTAGACACCAGCAATCCAGAGCCCACACCCCCACTCACCTTCTCTATCAGGATTTCACACTGATGACACACCCGGGCCCAGGTACCAGAATCCCAGAGCCTGTTGAGTTCATTCAAATCAGTAAACCCTAAGCCTGTTCACCCTGCCTTGTCCATTCCTTCTTCTGGAAACTACAATAAAGGCTTTTGCCCCTATTTCCCCTGCTCCGTCTGTCTCCAAACTGACCCTGTGCTTCCCCATGTGGCCCCTTATGGTATAGCATGCCTACTTCTGTTGGAATCTGTGAGTACAGCAGTCTTTTCAATGATATCCATCTCCTAATCTGTTGGTTTCACCAGACTTAAATCATAATAAAACAACAACAACAACAACAAAAAACACTACATTTTCAAACGTGTACATAAAGAGAAAAAGATACCAAGTGGCAAAAGAGAACAGTCTGGCCCCAGCACTCTGACCATTATTCGAATGGACTTAGATGAGACATAGCTACTCTGTTAGCTATATTTAGCAAAACTGCCCCTTTAGCCATTTCAAGAAAAAAAAACCAAAAACCAAAAAACAAAAAACATGATTTTACCATAAAGCAGTGTATTAGATTACTGGGAAAGTTATGACACACTTTTGCATAGATAACATAGAAAAGCAAGTCATAACTTTCCTGATGACCTAATATTATAAGAAACATAAACATATATCTAGTATGATAAGAAAGTACTCAATACAGCCAAGTTGAAGTATCAAGAGGTGTCCACATTAAGATAACACATATTACAAAGTGTGATGAGTCTTTTCAGGAGTCCTTGACTTCTAAAGCATAGGTTGAGTCCATAGGTAACAATAGCATGAGCAAACAAAAGAAGTCCTCACTCACCTAGGCAATAATACTAAAGTTTTGTACCAAATGTTCTGGATTCTAATATATCCATTAAAACCGCATCATAAGAGATTCAGTATAAAAAGCAAACTCTCTAGGATCAGCAGGTGGTATGGTGATTAAGGAGCTGGATTCTCACATGGTTTACCACAGTTCCAGTCCCAGACCCAGCCCCTGAAAAATCATGCTAGGCACGTGTGCATCTGTGCCCAAAATCTTGAGAGGAGAATGGATTGTGGCATGGCCATCCCCCCTATGGGGGGGTGAGTTCTCACTTTCCCTCCCTATGCTTTTCTCTATCTCTTACAACAAGTGATTTGCCCTATGGCAAAAACCTAAAAAACAAAACAAACAAAAAACCCCAGCAAAGTTCCCATTATTATCTCTTATTTAGAACTTGTTTCTGTCTATCTCTGGAGTAAGAGCTACCCAGAGGCACTTTTACTTGAATTGGTATGTCTAGCAGGTTGTGGATGGTTGGTACTAAATATTGATTTACAGACTGAAGAAATAAATAGCTTTAATTAACAGTGTGAGAGTTGATAAGAGATAAAAGATAGCCACTTTTGGGAGTAACTATTATAGGTAAATGATTTGGAAATGAGAATTAAGGCCACTTCCTCAGGCTCAAGCCATAGTATTTCCACTACATTTTGTCACCTCTTTGGAAGAAATCTAAGACACTTATTTTGTGGCAGTGGACATCTTAGCATCTCTTGGTTGCTAGCAGAATGCTAAATCCTGTCTAATTCAGCAATTCTCTGGCTAACAGCTGGTTTCATTGGCATTTTCCATGGGTACTGTGACAAATGGCTGGGAGTAACTCGGTGCCATTACTGTACAGGGACACTTACCAAAGGCTCTAGCTCCTTGCGGTCTATGAGGTTCATCTCTGTGACGAAGTAATAGAAGTGTTTGTAGCAGGTGTTGACATGGGCCTCTGCACCCATCACAATGACTCGGTCAAAGTGATGGATGTAGACATGGACAAAGACCCGGAAAAGGCGGCACAAGATCTTCTTGCAGATCTGAAGGAAGTTCAACAACAACAACAACAAAAAACACTACATTTTCAAACGTGTACATAAAGAGAAAAAGATACCAAGTGGCAAAAGAGAACAGTCTGGCCCCAGCACTCTGACCATTATTCGAATGGACTTAGATGAGACATAGCTACTCTGTTAGCTATATTTAGCAAAACTGCCCCTTTAGCCATTTCAAGAAAAAAAAACCAAAAACCAAAAAACAAAAAACATGATTTTACCATAAAGCAGTGTATTAGATTACTGGGAAAGTTATGACACACTTTTGCATAGATAACATAGAAAAGCAAGTCATAACTTTCCTGATGACCTAATATTATAAGAAACATAAACATATATCTAGTATGATAAGAAAGTACTCAATACAGCCAAGTTGAAGTATCAAGAGGTGTCCACATTAAGATAACACATATTACAAAGTGTGATGAGTCTTTTCAGGAGTCCTTGACTTCTAAAGCATAGGTTGAGTCCATAGGTAACAATAGCATGAGCAAACAAAAGAAGTCCTCACTCACCTAGGCAATAATACTAAAGTTTTGTACCAAATGTTCTGGATTCTAATATATCCATTAAAACCGCATCATAAGAGATTCAGTATAAAAAGCAAACTCTCTAGGATCAGCAGGTGGTATGGTGATTAAGGAGCTGGATTCTCACATGGTTTACCACAGTTCCAGTCCCAGACCCAGCCCCTGAAAAATCATGCTAGGCACGTGTGCATCTGTGCCCAAAATCTTGAGAGGAGAATGGATTGTGGCATGGCCATCCCCCCTATGGGGGGGTGAGTTCTCACTTTCCCTCCCTATGCTTTTCTCTATCTCTTACAACAAGTGATTTGCCCTATGGCAAAAACCTAAAAAACAAAACAAACAAAAAACCCCAGCAAAGTTCCCATTATTATCTCTTATTTAGAACTTGTTTCTGTCTATCTCTGGAGTAAGAGCTACCCAGAGGCACTTTTACTTGAATTGGTATGTCTAGCAGGTTGTGGATGGTTGGTACTAAATATTGATTTACAGACTGAAGAAATAAATAGCTTTAATTAACAGTGTGAGAGTTGATAAGAGATAAAAGATAGCCACTTTTGGGAGTAACTATTATAGGTAAATGATTTGGAAATGAGAATTAAGGCCACTTCCTCAGGCTCAAGCCATAGTATTTCCACTACATTTTGTCACCTCTTTGGAAGAAATCTAAGACACTTATTTTGTGGCAGTGGACATCTTAGCATCTCTTGGTTGCTAGCAGAATGCTAAATCCTGTCTAATTCAGCAATTCTCTGGCTAACAGCTGGTTTCATTGGCATTTTCCATGGGTACTGTGACAAATGGCTGGGAGTAACTCGGTGCCATTACTGTACAGGGACACTTACCAAAGGCTCTAGCTCCTTGCGGTCTATGAGGTTCATCTCTGTGACGAAGTAATAGAAGTGTTTGTAGCAGGTGTTGACATGGGCCTCTGCACCCATCACAATGACTCGGTCAAAGTGATGGATGTAGACATGGACAAAGACCCGGAAAAGGCGGCACAAGATCTTCTTGCAGATCTGAAGGAAGTTCTTCGGGAAGGGAACACCTAGAAAAGAAAGGAGGGGGAAAAAAAGAAAAAAAGAGGAATGAAATCATGATGGGGAAGCACATTTTCCTCATACCTACACTCCACGTCATGGAAACAACAGGGAGAGGTGAGGACTGTAGCAAATTGGAAAGTATCTTCCCAAGTCCCCAGTGGCAGTAGCCACTGTGTGACTCTGCGACAGTGGTCATAAGGGGATAAAGGCCTTGGATTGTCAGGGTTTCTGATTTCTCCAGATAATTCAGAAGTCTGGAGTTCTATGTGAATGTGCTGCATTTAAAAAATGTTAGCAATTAATTTGGAGTTAAAAAAAATTCCTGAGTTGAAGGCTTTGCAGACTTGACTCACTCCTAACCCCCCAAGTCTCTGCATTGTGGAGATGGGACTCTCACATAGGAAGGGTAAGTAAAGGGGTGAGAAGCTCCTCAAACTAGGCCTTCCTTCCAGCTGGCACCTGAGCACCTGTGGCCAAGGGCAATCAGCCATGGTGGCAGACTCCCCAAGAGGTACAGACACAATTGTAACAGATGGGAAACTTCTTTAGTGGTCATAGATTCAGCGTTGGCTTTCTAAGTAGGACATTGTTTTCTAAAACTAAAATGACTTAATTACTACACAGCATAATCTCAGTTTTTATTAGGTTTTGGATGTTCCCATTGAGCAAGTGTAACAATCCGTGAAATGTGAAAGTCAACAAATGAAATACCCAAGTTAAAACAAAACAAAAATTTAATCTCTAGATTAATCTCTGGATTAAAACTACCAGTCTGCAAAATTCTGACCCAAAACTTTCCCTGAGATACACTATTTCTGAGGTGGGCAAACTCAACAAACTCCACAGACTGTTGCACCATGTCCCCTCCCCTTCATCTCTGTGAGGAAGGTAGGGGCTGATGGCTGTGTTTTCCATAATGCAAAGAGGGTAATTAGTTGTCAGAGGAGTTGCTTAGATTTTCTGTTGGAGAACCACACTCCCAGCTTGGTCAAAACAATGGACAGCAGAATGGCAATCCAACTTCCTTTCTGCCTCTCAAACCCTGCTTAAACACTTGTTATTTACACTGTCCTTAAGTGGTGACAAGTTATACTGGATTTCCAAATTAAACAGACTTCGAATTCATTCTCTCCTCTTTTTCCAGCTGTATGACTGTGGTCGTCCTCGGACTCCTGACTCCTTCATGACCAGAGATGTCAACATGAGTAAGATCCCCTACTGTGCCAAGAATACAGCAAGAGCTTACTCAATGACAATGTCCCCCACTTTTTCCTGCAAGGTGAGGGTTGGCTAGAGCATCTAGTTGTTGTTTTAAGGAAAATAACTGCTCTTATCATGAAAAGGTAGACCCACCCACCAGCCTTTCAGCAGTACCACAGAGCTGTGCCCAGGGAGTCCTGAGTCAGGTTGTCCTTGCCTCTACAGAGACCCCATGACAGCTGTCTGCTGAGAAACACTCCATAACGGGATCACATGGGACCTCCAGGGCAGGATGAGAGAAATGGAACATGTCTGACAGGCCGTCAGCACTGACAGGCTCTGCCTCCCCAAGGTCTGGACACTGATACTGGCTTTCCTTCAAAAACAAAGTGGCAATTTATCAATGAACCAGGGAGAGACTCAAGGCACAGCCTGGGCAGTTGACTGTTTGGGCAACAGATGCTGGGATTTGTGAGTGAGGGAGAGAAAGAGTTGGGGAGAAAGTGGAGAGCAGCCACTCACAGGTGCATGAGCTGTTTTCTGTGCTCAAGTGGGGCCAGCAGAGCACTGCTCCACTGCTGGGCTTGGGAGCATCAGCAGTCTCTGACGACCCCTGAGTCCTAGGGGTGATGGAATACTCCTCTGAATAGGTGTGTTCCCTTCAAAAGGGGATCCTATAACCCACCTGGCGACATATGTTATCTTCCCAACCTGTGAGAAGGATTATTATTCCTATTTCACAGATAGTAATACTGAAGCTCTGAAGCGTTTCACTTGCGAAAGAGTGGCTAGGATTTGTAGCAAGTCAGCCGGACTAAACTCAAAGCCTGGGTGTGATTCTTTCTCTTGCCTAGATTAGAGGCACAGCTTGATTGCTAAGCACAATGAGGCCTCTGAAGGTTATTCTTCAGGGGCACAGAAATATAAATAAGTCAAAGAAAGTGGATGGAGTGAGAAGGGTGGGGAAAAAGTCCACAGCATCAGAAGTTACATCCAGAGGTGATAAGAGGCCAGTGAATATACTCTGCTGTCTTCAAGGAGAAACATGCTTCCTGCCCAGGCCTTGAGACCACAGACCTGGGACTAACAATAAAAGCTAATATTTACTGAGCACTTACTATGTTCTAGGAACTGTGCCAAGCACTTTATGTGGATTAGTTGATTGAGTCCTTGATACAGCCCTTCAATTATTCCATTTCACAAATGAAGACACATACCTGGAAAAATTGAGTAGTTTCCTAAGGTCACCAGGGGACAAATAGTAGAGAAGAGAGCCAGCTGTGGTAGGGCAGTGATAACGCATGTTCTGCAATGACGAGACCACATGGGAAGGTTCTTGGTTTACGTCTCAAGGCCTCCCTGTGCAAGCCAGGCATGTGTGTATATGCTCATGATTTTAGTTGGTTGAGGGTGAATCGTAGACGAGGACCCTGTTGGGGGTTCCTCTCTCTCTCCTTCTCTCATAAACACACACACGCGCGCACAGAAGAAGAGGAATTTGGACCCAGATAGTCTAACTCCAAAGCCCATGAGCACCGCTCTGGACCTCTACACACACCTCCAGCTCCCAGGTCATTTCTTTGGGTGATCTGAACTCTCCCAGGTATGCTCTCTTTTCACTTCCAGTCTCAGAAACACCTCAACTGAAGGAGACACAGGGAGTTTCAGCTGCACCAGCTTACCTGCCTGGCTCTTTAAGCCCGTCTCCACACTCCCCATACCGACCATAGATAAAGCAAACTCTTACCACATCAAAGATGTTCATGGAAATTGCTGGGTCCCTTTAGATTCCCCAAGTTGCTGTTTCCCCCAAATTGCTATCTCTGCTCAGTTCTGAACTCTTGACTCTGCACTCCATTCCATAGTTGCTCTCTGGCCTTGTCTGTGGCCTAGAAGGTATTGTGCCTCTTGCCCGCTTTGGGTTCTGGCTTTACAGGAGTTCAGAGAAGTTGGTTTTAGTGTCTGGAAGACCTAGTTTAAAATCCAAGTCTTACCACTTACTAGCTGTGTAGGCAAGTTCCTTCATTATAAAGTTGGTTAATAGTTGCTTTGTAGTGTTGTTAGAATAATACCCGTACTACTATGCCTGGCTCTTAGTAGAAACTGTGGGCCACAGTTCTTGCGTCATCTCCCGCTGAACTCCTTGGGTAGACAGGACCTCAGGCTTAGAGTCTCTTTGCTCTGGCAGCTAAGTTGGGCCTGATCCTTCCCCGATTCCCTCCTTTAGACGTCATTCACTCTTCAAAAGTGAAGCTGCAAATGGTTCAAGTCGAGGCGTGCCCAGCATATACTACAGGCACCCCAGGCCAGCTCTGGAAGCTGAGAAGAGGCTGGAAGCCCAGGGAGCCTAGAAGCCCCAAGTATTCTCTGCTGTGCCATAGACAAAATCCCATCATAGAGTATCTGGTTAAGAATAGGAAAGCCGTTGGGACCAGCAGTTAGCGTAATGGTTACGTCGCTGGACTCCCACGTAGTCAACTGCGGTTCGAGTCCCAGACCTGGTGGCTTAAACTCATGCTGGGCGCGTGTGCGTGCGTGCCCAAGATCCCGAGAGGAGAATGGAGGAGAAGGGATTGCGGCGTGGCCATCCCCCCGGGGGGTGATTTCTCGCTTTCTGTCTCTCTGTCTCTCTCTGTCTGTCTGGCGAACGTAAGCGCCCTATAACAAAAACCTCTCAAAAAAAAAAAAAGAATAGGAAAGCCATAGGCACTTGGGACACTCATTCAATTACTGATGACTCAGGGGCCAATTTTGTACTTCTTGTGTTAATCTAGCCCTTTTTCTCACTTGTTCTCCTGCCCTTCCAGATGTGTAGATTTGTGTGTGTGTTTTAAATAAACTTCTTCAGAAGGTGGAACTAGGAGATTGTCCCTCCAGATGTAGAGAACTTGGATGTGCACCCCACAATGGACTCGAACTTTCTCATCCTGTGAACTGGCTCCATAGCAGCATGACAAGGCAAGACTCAGCCTCTGGGTCTGCTCCCTTCGCTGACAGACCCCAGTTCATAAAAACTGATTGATCTGAGGTTTGTTTTTCCTTCACGGTTGTACAATAAAGGGTTCAATCTCCAATAAACAGTCAACCAAAAGGGACCCCTGAGTGAGACCATTTAATTCTAGGGACACCCGATGCAGTGGTACTATTGTTTGTTTGTTTGTTTATTTATAAGCAACTGAGACTTTGCTCCGTTAAAGCATTTGTCCAGACCACACAACTAAAAAGTGGCAGATTTGACTGGAAAATTCAGGCTCTTTCAGACTGCATGGTGGCAGGGACCATGAAGGATGAGACCACCGTTTTATTACCTGCATTCAGCTCACTAGTTGAAAGAGCTCACAAAACATTTGTTTTAAATAAATACAATCTAGCAGTGGGAAGAATGAAAGGCTAATGACTCATCTCAAACGGCTGCTTGATTGACTACATCGGAAGTCTGTATGTGAAGGGACTGTGAGTGGCTGGTCTGGACAAAGGACAGGCTATGGGTCTACATGGCAGCACTGACACAGCATCAGATCCAGAACCAAACCCCACCCCTTACCCCTTCTTCCTCTCTTGAGTACATAATACTACGGACTCTCCACTTCAGTATTTCCCAATATACATTTTTAAAAAATCACTAATCCTAGGAGATCCTTGGCTAAAAAGATAGGTGGGTTCAAATATATTTGCAAAAATTTTGCTTTTACAGAGGTTTACGATATACCCAAGCATACTCATGGTAGACTATAGCAACAAATCCTATTTAAGTCTAAATTTGCCTTCTCCCATAGTATCTATTAGTTAAAGATAAAGTCTGTAA